AATTGATCGCACAAAAATCATTTCAAATGTATTTTACTTTCCATTAAAAAATTGAATTTAATCATTCTTAACTTAATTTTCGTTCCAACAACGTTATTCGATCAAACTCAAAAATAATCCTCGGATATTTCTTCTAATGATAACAAATAAAAACTAACATTTGTTTGTAACCATTAAGATGTCTAACATACATTGCGTATAAAAGAATCGTGCATGCGTGTACCGTACATGCATTCGCGTGTATGTGTAACTGGTTTCGTCTGCGACGACAATGAGTTTGATTACGGAACTCACGATTGTATACAATGGTAAAGCGAATTTGCTATCCTCATCCTGCCCCCCCCCCTTTTCTCCTTTTTCTTTTATTTTCTTACCTTTCCTTTGGCCATATTCCATGGGACTGATTCGAAGAAGGGTTTCCTAGGAGGACGCGTTGATTTTTGACGAAAGATAGAACACACGAGAAGAAAGAAAAAAAAAGATAACAAGTAAAGAAAAAAAACCATGCTCGGAATCGTCGAAAAGTCCGAGAGGTCCGAGGGTTCACGAACGCGTGTGATTGGCTTATTGTACGACGACAACGTCTCGTACGAGTACGAATGAAGCTTTCTTAAAGTGAAAGCACACAGGTAACCTTACCAACAATATACGATTTTGATCGATACTTTCTTTCCAACGTTGAAAATATTCTTCCATGTAGATAACGTCGAGAGAGAATTTTTTGCGATTTCTGTTTTATTACATTTGTTTAAGAAAAAAAAAAAAAGAAAAGAAACAAATTTTTCCGAGATAGGAAAGAAAGAATTTTTATCATTTAACAAAAAGAAAATTAGAAAATAAAAAATATATGTTTAAAGTAAAAGTATGATGAAAACTGTGCAGTAACTCCGAATCGTATGTACTTATATTTTTTTTTATTTTTTTATTCTCTTTAGTCTCTCTCCTCTCTCTCTCTCTCTCTCTCTCTCGCTCTCTCTCTCTATTTTTTTCTCTTTATCTCCGCCTCTCTTTTTATGCCATAAAACCGCAAGGCAGATAATTTAAAGCTCGATGAGTTAAAAAGGGAGAAGCTTTGGTAAAGCACCATCAACGTAAGAGAGAGAGAAAGAGAGAGAGACTGGCGAATACCAGATGGTGTGAGAATTTGAGTCATAAAAAAGAGAAAAAGAGAGAGAGGGAGTGAGAGAGGGGAGGGGGGGAAAGCAGTGAGAGTTAAAAAGGGTGGAAGTGGGAGAAATAGTGGGAATGAGAAAAAGAAATAGAAAACGTATATCCACCGCAAAGTTTTAAATTCGTGCAACGTCCAACTGAGCCGTTCGTACAATGGGCCGCAAAGTTTTATCTGAATATGACAGAAAATCCGGTCGCGGCTTATAAACATTTTTATATATGTATGTACATACCGCGGAGGAAATACTGGGAGCTACGAACCCGGCGCATTAATTAAACTTTATGCACGACCAACGAAAAATAAAAATCTACATGTATCTATATATATGTGTATGTATGCATATGTATGTATAGATACATATCATATATAAATATATAATATATATATTTTATTTGTATATATATATGTATGTGTGTGTGTGTGTGTGTATAAGCTTATAATCCGTGTAAGCTTTTCCATCGTTTATTTTTTTTCTCTATTTTTATTTTACATTTTTTAATTTTTTATTCATAATTTTCATTTTCATTACTTTTTCTTTAAGATGACCGCTCTTAATTTTCACTATTTACAATTTGCAACAACCCGCGATATTTTTGTAATGAAAATATATTCTTGTTGGGCATTAATATTTTGTTTTCAAACAAAGTTAATAATTGATAATTCATAATTGTTTGTAATATCCAATAAAACTGTATTTATTCGAATGTACGACTTATACAAATCGCGACTGTAGATTGGCAACACTATTTATTCGTATATGCTAATTTGATAAAAAGTATTTTTCTTACACGTATGCCTGGCTTATTGCCTATCTTAAGGAGCTAAACAAATCTTCCAATATACAGGAAGGATGCCTATCTCCCCAGACACACAATATCAAGTATATAATATTATATTGAAATACAAATAAACGCGCGAGTGGGTTGAAGATTCTGAAAATAAAAATAAATTTGACCGAATAAACAAATCGTTTTTTATATTAGTCACAAACATTTTTAATCAATCATATTTAACAGACAAACTTGATAATTCCTTTTCTATGTGATGGAAAAATTGTTACGATTAGAAAAAGAAAAAGAAAAATAATAATAAAAAACTACGCTTATTAGAGATAATTAACTATATTTATATAATTATTTGTTTATATAATTTTTTGGCAAAGGAACATACATATAGTTGAAATCCTAACGACTTAACGACTCAGAGTCATAACTCGGTACTCGATCGGCCCCAGGAGAACGTGAGTTTCCCAGAGCGCGTAATTTAAGTGACATTCATACTGACTCTCCAGTATTTACTCGCGAAGCGAGGCAGTTGCCGCTGTCCAAATTACCATATTCTACTTTCCGCTACACGTTCTCGCGGGTTTGGCCCAGATTCGCTTCCTCCAACTTAATAAACAGAGCCTTTAACGTCGACCGTACCACGCGAAAGCACCTTCTTGCTTAAATCTTGTTGCGTTTTATCAGGCTTCCTCTTACCAGTGTTCGTCCGGGGAGATGTGTACCGTTTTATATACTATATTATATATGGTATTATATGTATAATACATATATACTTTGATATTAGCCTCTTATATACACATAAACCCTCTTACTTGTGTTTGCGTCTACATGTAATACGTTTTTCATTTATATACGCTTCAGGAAAACATGTACATGATTCTTCTTCTTATATTCAACAATTCCTTTTGTTATTTATATACCAATATAGTTATCATAAAAAAGCGAGAGAGAGAGAGAGAGAGAGAAAAAAAAATGAAACAAAATGCGTAGGTATAGTTCGGAAAGTAATTTTATTTTTCTTACAGAGATGTTTTTGTTTGTTTTAGTCACGTTCACCGATACCGAATCTTGCTCATAACCTCAACATCATTTTACAATAGTTATTAACTATTATATTTTCATTAACTCTACTTTGATCATATATTTTCTATGTCAACTATTACCATTATATATACGCCCATACGTGTATTATTTTTTTTTTCTTTCTTTCTTCCTTTTTTCTACGCTATGTACTCCTTTTTGTTTTTCTTCTTCCCTTTATTTTAGCGATTCACAGAGCCAAGTCCGCGTCATGAATGATTGAACGCAAAGCGTAAAAGGGTGAGCTGCAACTTCTCTTCTCTTTAGAATAATAACGTATGGGGTGAGAAGCATGAAAGAGGACGTACTCTGCACGTTCTATGTCGTGTTAACGATATCGCTAGAAATTTTCTTTTCGAATTATTCGACACGTATATATTTGTTTATTTATAACCTACAACAAAAAAATAGAAAAATCTTATATAGTATAAACGAAAGTATGGTCAGATATTTTTAAGTAAAACCAATAGGGATACGTTTATATGGTCAGACATTTTTAAAGATGACAATTTTACTTAACAAATGTCTGACCATATAGGAACATCTTTATAGAACACAGAACTTTTATTTGATTCTCTGATCTAAGAAATATTTAAATACTATTAAAATATTTATTCCGAATAGGAACGTAAAATATTTCTCTTACTTTTGTAAATTATTCTATTTGAATGTAAAAAAAAAAAAAAGGAAAATACTGCAATGATGCTAATTTTTCATTTTTTCTTATGATGCAAATGAATTAATAATTACTGAACCTTAATTTGGTATACCTAGGGGAATATTTTTAAAATCATAAATATATTTATTCCAAATATAATACAGCATAAAATAATTCTCTTACTTTTTCAAAGTTTTCTATTTAAATATTTTAATATAATATACAAACCAAACTTAATAATAAGAACATTATTTATCGTTATTCTTTAAAATGCAAATGGATTAACAATTACAGGTTATTGAACTTTAATTTATTTTGACTGGAAAATATTTAAAAAGTAGAAAAATATTTTTCCTACATTATAAGATATGTTTCTATAGTATTAAAATATAAAACAGAACATAAAGAATTAGGAGAACAGTATATGAAGCATTGGTGGAGAGAAAGTAAGAAGGTAGAAAGGTTAGAGATAAGATTAAGACAGGTTGTATGAGAAGAACGGAAAGAAGAACCGGTGAAGTGGTTAAGGGAGGTAAACGAAAATTGAAAAGAAATGGACAAGACCAAAAAGAAAGTTGCGCAGGCATGATGCAAACAAACAAAAAAATCTTGAGTTTATATTATATATTATATTATAGAATTTAAAATCTAATTGCTTATCTCTATAATCAAGTTCAATTACTAAACCAACAAGCTATAAATAAATAAATATCTAATATAAAACAAAACAAAATAATAAGATGAATATTTAATTCTTTCTTATGATGCAAATGAATTAGACAATAATAATGGTATTTGTTTTTGACAGAAGAAAAAGGAGATGTTAACATCTTACTATTCAAATATAATTAAAAAAAAAAAAAAAGACTGATGTGTGTACTTATATACGCACGTAAGAAATTATTCTTCTTTAACGTATCAAAACGAATATAACCTCAAAAATAACTTCAATTTGCCAGCGCATCGTAAATATCGACAACTTCGTGGTGTCGATTTTTCGGTCGCATATAATTAAATTCACTTTCCAAAACGCGGCAACAAAAGTATAACTTCAAAAATTAATTAAAAAATATAAGAAGAAAATTATGTTATTATTCGTTATGATTCAAATGAATTGAAAACAATGATCTATAATAAATTGTATTATAATTTTGACAGAATGACAGGTGATTATTAACATTTTATAAATATAACTTTTCAACAAAAAAAAGATAATAAAAATAAGAGAAGGAAATGATGTTATTCTTTCTTATGATGCAAATGAGTTAGACGATGAATCTTATTGTATATTGTATGTGTTTTACAGGGTGAGGGGGCATGTTGGTGTGCCGGCGGTTGCTGCTGATCGCAGCCGCGATCGCGGCCTCGATCGAGATTGGCTCCGCTAGTTATCGTTCAAGCATATCCTCGGAAAACCCTAGCAATCCTGGAACGACATCATCCGAGGTATCATCTAGTAGCCCGGAAACGAGCGGCTCCTCGACCGAAATCACCGAGACGATCGTTTGCAGACCGTCCGAGTATCTTTGTGGTACTGGCCAGTGCGTTGCACAGGACAAATATTGCGACGGGGAAAATGACTGCGGCGACAAATCCGACGAGCCACGATATTGCACTCGTAAATATTATATTATATTTATATTATAATATATATATATATATATATATTTTCATTATTTTTATTTTATTTTATTTTACGGGATAAACCCATTAACACAAAGTTTACAAAAAGAGGTCAGCTAAATATAGAAAAGAAAAAAAGTTACAGAAAAAATAATAGATAGTTATAGAACAATTGGTTGTTTTAAAAAAAAAAAAAAGAAAAAAAAGCGAATATGTAATAATCTTTTTTTGATTTTCTTCGTTTTATATTAAATGACATTATTTAAATTGTAATTTTTTTTTGTTTTTAAACAATGAAAGAGAGTTTTACGAAATGAACGACATTTTTCTTTTCTTTCCTTTTCATTTTTTTTAATATTCTATTATAAGAAGAGGAAAATATTCTTCTTTTATAGAAGTTTGTATTCATACGTATATAATAAAGAAGAAAACATATTTCTCATATATTTTTTAATATTTCTTCGTTTTCTTTTCTTTTTTTATTAATATTTTCTTTATCAAAAAAGGAAATAGTTCGTTTCTTCTCCTTTTCTTTTTTCTTTTATTTTTTTTTCTAAATTTGTTGTTTAAGAATTGCTAACAATCATCCACTCTTCTTTGCATTCTCTTTGACGTTTTCGTTAATCTATGTTGTACATATGTACGTACGTGCATGTGAATGAAATAGAACAAAAAGGAATACGTAAATGTCGACGTGCATAGTATACAACATACAACAATCAGACAGACATCAAAACTCGTAGTTGTTCGTTTGATTTTTTTTTCTTTCTCTTTCTCTCTCTCTCTCTCTCTCTCTCTCTCTCTCTCTCTCTCACGATAAGAACTGATCTAATTACGTCGTAGCAACGGTCAGCGAAAATTCGAACAGCTAGGTGATATCATTCGTCCGATTGGATTTCGACCGGTCATAGAAGCAGTTAAAATTCTATCGGTACACTTGGACGAATCGCGAATGAAATTTTTATGAAAGCTAACATATATAGAAACACACACACACACATATATACGTAGTACGTGCATTCTGTATGTGTGTGTATCTGTGTATGCATGTATATGTACGTATATAGATATCGTTTACCGGTCACAACAAAACTCTGCGTTGTTATTAGTTTTAGCGCAACCGGGTCGTTTGTTATTAACATTTCAAAATCGAGCCGAAGCAATAACGACATATCGTGAGATTTTTTTATTCATTCCTCTCTCTTTCCCCTTTCCTCCTTTAACCAATCCGCTTGTTCTTTTTAAACAACACAATAGATTAAAAAACATATATAATCGAAAGATTTTATAGGATATTTTTAATCAATCGTATAATCATTTTGTTTAATTATTTTGATCGAATTAGGATTGACTAAGTTTAATTAATGTTAAATAAATAATCATGATTTTGTTAATTTAAACAATTTGTGTCCAAACTTCTCTATTATTATTATTATTATTATTATTCTTTTTTATATATCTTTGTTTCTTACGTTATAAAATTTGAAACGAGATATGAAGTTGAAATTCGAATGGTACATAAAAGAAATGATAGTGTAAAGGAAAAAATAAATTGTTCTAGCATGCAACCGAACGCTGTACGGTGATGTCGGTCGAACGTACAGAATGGAAGTCCGTCGGCCGAGGAAGGATCGACTGCCATTCTTGTGTCATCTCAACTTCACTGCCGCCGGTTCTGATCTTGGTGATCTAGTTCAGGTCAGGACAACCAGAAATATCTATACAATATATTATAAACTCGCATGATTTTTTTCTATGCAATAATTTTTTGTTTTGTTTTTTAATTTTTTTTAATTTTAATTTTAATTTTTTTTTTTAATTTTTTTTTTTCTTTCGATTTGGATTTCACAGTTTACATGAAAGATTATAAAACGAGTCAGGATGACAAATATATAAAGAAAAACAACAACAACAAAATTTGATATGATTTGAAAAAATATTTACAACCTTCTTTTTGTAATCAAAGTATAGTATTTAAAATAATTGAATTCTGACAATAGTGGATTCTATGAAAAAATATGATACGTGATTTTATAATAATGTTAAAATATAGTAACTTTAATAATAATGAATTTATGAATATCTGACGCTTTTATAGTGAAAGTAAATTTTACGAATAAAATTTTATTTATATAAAGAAACAACAAATAACGTATTCGTTTGCATATATAAAAAAAGAAAAATCGAATGAGAGAAATAAATATGTGGACAATAAATAGAATGAATAATACACAGAACGTTTTTTAAAACTCACCTTCTGTTCGAATGATTGCATCCGAATTTCATGGAAGATATTTTTGTCTTTTTTAATTAAATTTTTAATATTATCATCTCTATATATAAGGTGACGGTAAATTTTTCAAACAAAATATAAGATGAACCAATAATAACTAGACAATAAATGATAAAATAATATTTATTATATTACTATTTTATGATGTTCTTTTTCTTTCTGATGAAATTTCCAATATGCTTTCGTATTGTATTATTGTATAAAATAATATTTCTCGATTTATTAGTCAATATAATTGTATATCTCCAAATAAATCTTATCATTTATTGTCTACCTTACTTTTGATTTACCTTATATATTGAATTTTGTTATTTTCGTTGAAATTTCGTTGATATCTTCTTCCTACGGTACCTGTCAACTTATTTTTCTTTCTGGCTAAGCGTACAAGGTGTCTCAAAATATACGAGCAAAATTTTAAGGGTAATATCGATACATTAAAATAAACAAATTCGTACAGTCGTGCACCCGATACGATCATGTTCCCGAAAGACAGCGATTTTTTATAACACGCGTTATTACATCATTTTCATAGAAACTATTCCAAGTAGCTAATTTCAGCTACCAAACGTCAAATCATAGATCTTCTCTCTCGTTCAAAAATATCATCTGTCGTTTGAATTTGCCGATAAACGTGAGATCAGAAATTTAATTGTAAATAATTGAAGCAATCAAAATAAATAAAGTGTTATAAATTAATAGAAGACAGAGAAGTAGCTATAATTCGGGAAAGTAGGTCATATCGGTTATACGATGGACTTTTTTTTTACTTCTTATTTTAAATTACATAAAAACTTTTGTTTACTTCTTATTTTAAAGTACATAGTTTTAAAGTTACGTTCACGTATTTTGAAACACCTAGTATATACGTAGGTATAAAAATACATATATATACGTTGTAGAAAATTAAGGAAACGCTGACTGTGGGAGTTTCAAGTGAAAAGATACTGTCACGGGTCAGACACGGGCGTCGCCCGAGGTTCCTGGCCACTCCCGTTAGAATACCGAAAATTTATTGTTCCGTTTTCTCACGATTTTCATCTCTCATCTCTTTCCATATCTCTCTCTCTCTCTCTCTCTCTCTCTCTCTCATTCTCTTTTCTATCTGCTAGGCAAATTAAAAGGGTTCGCGTGCCAACTAAAATATTCCCTCACCTCGAATATTCACCTACATATATTATATGCGCCTATTTATGTGTATATGTGTGTGTGTGTATTTGGATTAGTATGCATATGTATTTACGCGCGCTCGTGTGTGTGTGTACGAAAGGTGGCCTATTTTAATCTACAGGGTAAAATGGTAAAACGTAGCCAATCGGAAATTTCTCGTATAAAAATATTTCATCATGCCAATGCATTTCGTAAATTTGTTTGTTTCACTGCTCTCTCTCTCTCTCTCTCTCTCKCRCWMTMTCTCTCTCTCTCTCTTTCATTTAATTTACCGATTGTATTCGAACCTTTTTTTATATGAATCATCCTTCCTCTCCTCAATTGGCGAACTCTTCGAACAAATTCGTGCGTATCGCTTTTTCTTTTTTTTTTTTTAATCTTTTTTGTCGATTTAAAATACTTCACGAAATAGACGTCCATTTACCTTACAGATTAAAATGGATTTTCCTGTACGTTAACCGGTCTCTCTCTCTCACACACATACACTCATATGTAACATAAACAAATTGAACAGTAAACAAAGAAGCACGTTCGATGTTAACGATGAAATAACTTTCGTAAATGGTAGGAATTGTTTTTTCATTTCTTTTTCAGATTATATTTAATAACTAAAGTAATTTATACAAAATGGGAAACCCTTTGAATGCTATCTATGATAATAAATAATAAATAATAATAATAATAATAATAATGTAATAGCAATATGTATGATCGAATGAAATAGTAAAGGACGAATGACATTTCCTTTTACAGTTAACGTTCGACACGTTTACGGTCGGTCGATTTCAATCTTTCACGTCGGAAGGATGCCCGGATGGTTTCATGAGTATTCGCGAGGAGGGTCGTCCAGCGACAGGTGGACAATGGTGTGGCAGTGCTTGGGGTTACACGGTCTACTACAGCGAAACACCCTCCATCAATCTCACTCTTTACTTGCAACGCTTGCCCGAGGAGGTAAACGAGACTTTCTTTAGATCCAATGCAATTTCAGATACCACCCTATTCTTAACGATCTCAACAACTTATTTTCTTACACCTCTATTGTGAATGAGTCAACAAAAACAATTACTCAAATAAATTCTTATTAATTGTATTGAGAAATATTTAAATGAATTATGTATCATAGCATTTAACCTTTTGCAATTCAATCAATTTCTAAACATGATCTATCAACTTTTTTACGTTATCTCGGATGAACGTTAAAAAGTTGATATAACATCAATGAAAAAATATCTATGATTTTCATTAGATTAATTATCTGTTATCTCAACTTTCGTTGTAAAGAATTAATTTGGAATTTTATACAGTTGATAATTCGTCCATAGGCAAATTACGTAAGTGTACTAAATATTCTATCAATAATAGAAAAAGTAAAATTATTATAACTGTCACCGTAACGATACCCGTGGAGTGCAAAAGGTTAAGGGACGTTTAAGATGAATTCAATTTGGTTTATTTTCTTAAACGTCAAGATTAGTTTGTGTTATTTTTTAATTTCACGTTATTGATGATAGAAGAACGAATTGATTCAATAAAATACAAATAAATCAAATTGTGTTCCTTAAAATGCTACATAATTAATTATAATATTTGTTGAAATAACTGATAATTAGAGAATTATTTTAGACAATAGTTCTTGTCGAATTATCTAACCGAATAGTAATTAACATACTTATTTCAGTAATTTATACTTTATATATAATATTACTTCAGATAGAGTTTGTATTTGTAAAACAATGTACGTTTTCAGTTAGTATTAATCTCTCAATCATTCGAAGTAAACTTAATATCCTAACAATAGCGAACTGAAATAATTGTTAATAGAAATTAAAGGTAGAAATAATTCAAACAAAAAATATAATAATAAAAAGAAAAAAAAAGAAAGAAAAGAAAGATAAAAATATTATATTTCTCGTTAATATATTAAATATTTCCATCCATTCGATCAATAATTTTATTCAAGAATTGATTTACCGTAAAAAAAAATTAAAAAAAGATTATCGATAAACATGATACAAAATTTGGGGGGAAAAAAAAAAGAAAAAAAAAGAAAAATGAGATTATTAATAATTTCGAAATATTATATACGCGTATTGTAATTGAAGATGAAACGTTTCATTATGAAACAGGAGATTACTCATCAGGAAGGATAATAACTTTGAAGGATCCTTCTCATCGTTGATCAAATTATTCCAATTAATCCATCTCAATAATCTTAGGAAAATGAAACGGGCAAGTAAGGAAGTAAACGAGAGATCGGTGTTGAATGAGAGAGAGGGGAGGGGGGTGGATAAACGAGGAGAGAGAGAAGGAAAGAGAAAAGAGAGATAGAAGATAATAATAGTTAGAAATTGAGGCTAATAATCTTAAATTTTAGGGGATCGGTTACAACTTCGACTTCCAACTATCGTACAAGTTTCTCAGACGAAGCGAAGCACATCTAAGGTATGGGAACACGAGTATGGCTACTTGGCGAGGTGAACTGGTAAATGGTACCTACTGTGATCGCGTATTAACCAAATGCGACACTCGTGCCTGCCGGCTTCAGTCACCGAACTATCCTGGCGTTTATCCCAGGAACGTCACCTGTTACTATCGCGTTGAACAGAATCGTGCACCTCCTGGGCACAGAGCACTTCTTGCTGTCAGTCAACGTAACAGCCACAAGATACACATCAAAGATCAGATTGTCAAATACGATAGAAGTCAACGTATACTTAGGTACGTTATTTTCGTTTTCTCTAATTCTCCATTTCTGTCATACGTTTGAACAAACAGTTGATCAAACGATTGATCAAAATTATACAAATTTTATTGATTGCCAAAGGTAAAACTTGCTTAGTCACATTTTGCATGTTTTTAATCTTCCCTAAGAATTGAATTTCTTAATTCAGTAATAACATGGTCATTATGATTTATTGCGATAACAGAAATTTGTTTTTTGATCAAACGAATTAGTTTGAATTGTATTATTCATATGTTTTGTTAGCTTTGTAATGATTTTAAAAAATAGAAACATCATTTTTATGTTAGATTTCAATTAAATGTTAACATGTTTGGCAGAGGCCTTGTATAAATCGGCTTTTGGAGCAATTATGTTTTAACTTTAGAACATATATATTTTTAGTTTTTATAAATTACTTTCCTAATACTCACGACATTCAGCAATTTATTTCATAAATAAGGGAAATCGTTAAAACAGTTATTATCCACTGACAATGATTAAATCAATAAATTTGATCGTTAAATTTTAACGGTCGAAATAGTTACTTTCTAAATTTTTAGTTCATACGATTATTCTATTCAGAATTAGTCTTAAAAATCTAACCAATTTTATAATATCTCTCTTTAACTATCATATTAATAAATAAAATAAAAATTGTTGTTGTTATTTTAAGATCATAATGCTGAAAACGATGATTAAGATCTAGTTAAAAATGATTCGAAGAAATAATATAATAGGACTTGTTCAAGTTGATTTATTAAATATACGTATATACACCGTAAAATAAAATAAATTAAGGATAATATAACGAGCAAACTATTTTGTTCATCTCGAGTATCCGTGATATCGACGAACGTTAATAAAAGTAGGTCGATAGTAGTGATGTTAAGTCCTAACTAAGTATGTACTACCATTGCAAACACCGAAGCAGGTTTGTACCGCGATAAATCATAAAAAATAAACCTTTTTTTCCTTCTTCTTCTTCTTCTTTTCTCTGTTTTTTTTTCTTTTTCTTTTTTTTAATTTTTCAAGAACTGATGTCATGGAAATAGGTCAGTAGGTCTAGTGTCAACCCTTTCGAGCAATGAGTTTTCCTAATGCTAACTAACCACGTAAAAGTGGTATACGTTTCGTAAAAACATTAATACACGACCTTAGCATAATCTTTCTTTTCATTATTTTCCCTTCTTATATCTTTCGAATAAAAAAAAAAAAAAAAAAAAAAAAAAATAAAAATCCAAAAAACACAGCATACGGTCGCGTGGAATGAGACAATGAGATTATAATGACAATAATTATAGATATGAAGTATAATAAACGATAATTGTGATTTATAAAATGAAAGCTTACTGTCGTCAATAGGAACGAAAATTTCAATTACTGGATAGAACGTGTTGCATAATTTATGCAACGGACCAACGTAATTCGAAATTGGCGGGACTTTTCGTCCTATCTAAAATATACGAACGTACGTATGAATATGTGGCATTGTATACGTTTATATATGTGTATATATGCATATGTGTACGCGATCGGGAATTTAAAATCGAATTAAATTTCCCGCGCGTATCATACGTCGCGCTCAATAATAAATCTTCCGACGTTCCTATAAATGTATAATCGGGTTGTCCAAGCTGGAAAAGAGTGGGAAAGAGGAGAAGAGGGTCGCCGATGTTCTAGTTAATGAACAAAAATGTTCGAGAAGAATATAATCGTAAAAAATCGGCCTCGTTTATCCCATCGTTTATTTACCTACAAACGTTGATAACATACGTACGAGAACAATGGCGGTCGTTGCCATTACGGTTTCTCGCTAATTCGTTTTCCATTTGATATATAAATTGTTTTAGAAAATAATAATACGCTTTTTAATTATTCGATGTTAAACTGCGAAAAAAAAGAAATGTTGATTTAGTTCTTACTTTCTTTTTGTTTTGTTTTTGTTTTTTTTTTTGTTTGGTTTATTTGTTTGCAGAGTTTGGGATCAGTGTAATGTAGTACAAGATTACTTAACCGTATACGATGGTGGCTCCACCTCGGATAGAGTCCTCGTGAGATTGTGTGGAGGAGACGCAGTGCCGGATATCGTCAGTAGTCACAACACAATGCTTTTGGAATTTCACACCTCGCCATACGATAATCCGTTTCACCCTGTTCCTTTATCTTTCCTTCCAGGATTCGAGCTAGAAGTTCAGGTGAGATTCAACATTTTCTATTTCAAACTTATTCCCTTTTTCCTTGATGTCTTTTTTTGTCCTACGTTCCAACGAGATTTAATATTTTGTTGAAAATCGAACAAATCCGACGATAGAATCAAAACTCCTACCCGAAATTGAATTTTCCCTTTTTCGCGTTAACCCCTCGAAAATTGTGTATTTTAATTTCATGAATTTTTAGCGAGACAACTTTCGATAGAATATATTCTACGACTTCTGTCGCGTTTATTTCGTTTCGAATGATTTGTAATTATTATTAACGTTTTATTTCAAATTGAAAATAATAAATTGATCTTAATTTGTATATATATATATATTCGGTTAAAAAAGTATTTATTTCTTGAAATATATAATATGAAAATATATTTCACAAATCCCAAAGGTTATTTTAAAAAACACTTTATATGGATATATATCCGTAAGAGTTTAAAGTTCGATTTTATCGGATATATATCGTCATACGAATTCATCGAAATCTCTTAGGTGCTATTCGTCGACGAAAAATCCCGAAGCTTCGTGAAGGAAAACGACAACTGCGACTTTTATATATCGAGCGAGGAAAGCTCGTTGGGAATACTGGAGAATCCGAAGCACTCTCTTCCGCCGAATACTACTTGCCGTTATCACTTTCAAGGGAAACTAAACGAGATCGTTTGGCTTTCCTTCGTCAAGTATTATGCCGCCAGTGCGGAACTTGCTGCGAATCTTCACACTGGTGCAGATTGTAACGCGAAGTTGCTGATATGGGATGGCGATCATGCTTCAAATAAGCTTGTTACCACCCGAAAGGTATGAAATTTCGAAGGAGTTGATTGTTCGACGATACGTGATCATATTTTAAAGTATTTCAAGAACACTTTTCTCAGATTTCGAATTATATTTCAAGTTATATTGAGATATATACATCGATACATACATAAGTATATAAAACTAGTTAGTTAGGTCTAACTAACTGCTAACAAATATAAGATATCTATTATCAATCGTTATCAATAATCAGACCGAGATGTTTTTCTAAGAGAAAATTTAACTCGTGACTTGGTCACGTACAACCAGTTTGGGTTCAGTAGAAAGCTTACAATATCTAAATTGTCTTTTCCTGTATGGACTCGTTAGCTAATCAAGTATTATTCTTTCAGAACATCACACTGATGGGCCAATTTTGTAAAGACGACGTACCAAGACTTTGCGATCACAGTCTTTTACGTAATAGCAGTCGTCATACGCGTCCTTGCAGTTTGACCGAGAGTTACGTTTCCACGGGAAGGGATCTCACCTTAGAACACATTCTACGTCAAGGAAGTGCTCTTTATCCGATAAGCTTCGTCTTGCGTTATGAATTTGTGCACGAGGCCACATCCTGTAATCACGTTTTCTCAATGACGTCTCCGACTTCCTCTTCGTCTTCCACATCATCATCATCATCATCATCATCATCATCATCATCATCGTCGTCGTCATCATCATCATCATCATCATCGTCGTCATCATCATCATCATCATCATCATCATCATCATCATCATCATCATCATCATCATCATCGTCTTCGTCTTCGTCTTCGTCTTCGTCTTTATCTTCATCTTCGTCTTCGTTATCTATCATCTCGAACTTTGGAAAGTTCACATCTCCTAAGAGCGTATTTCTCTATGGTCGAGGTGGTACCCAAAATCTCAGCTGTGTCTATAGATTCGAGTCCAAGCCCGAACATAGAATAGAGTTGTCCATTGACAGAGCTTCCTTCGGTGATAAGATCTGTTCCTCTTACATCGATCCACTCGTCAATCGATGGACTTGCGATAGACGTATTGGCGGGCCAAGAAAGTTTGGTATTGCTGAACTCGTCATAGCTGAGTATCCTTGGCACGAAGTTGAATTGGTAAGTCAAAGACCCATGAAATATAAGCTTCTACGTTTTCCCTTTGATTCTTCCCTTTCTGTATATATTTCAATAGTTATATAGGACACCGATTATAGGATATTTAATTTCATTCGAAAATATACCCAACCGATTAAACGCGTATTGCAATTACTTACTCAACGATCAAAGAATTGAGATATTTAAACAAAAATAGGATCCCATTTAACAAAATGTTTTATCTGTTTACAGATACGCGACTGTTTGTGCTCTAACGTGACAGAGAGAATCATTTTGAGAAGTCTAACGTCGAACGTCATCGAAATTAGGTTTACAGTGACACTGATGAACGTAACGCAAGACTACAGAGATTACTTTTTCGAAGGAGAATATCGTTTTATTCCAATGAATACAGAAAACAGCGAGCAAGGAGGTTGCTCAACGAAACTCGAAGAACGTCGATTGCGTGGTACCAGTGGTGAGATATCACTTAGAAGTCCATTACCACGCATTACTCCTGGTGTCGCAGCTGTCGAAGAAATTTTAACGAACACGGAAGATTTAACAGCTACGCAATGCGTTAACGAACCCTGGCTGATCGAGCCCGAGGACGCGAGAATGAACTTTCTTTATTTACGAACTGCTGGTTATAGCATTGATCTCGACAACGTTGAAGCATGTACCACTCAAAATCGAATAATCGTATACTCAGCAGCCAATACCAAAGAACGCAGTGTAATCTGTCCAGAAGGTGGAGTGGATACTAGCAAAACAGTCGACTTCTTCTCAGGTGGTTGGAATTACAGTGCTGTTAATGCTAGCGTAGCAATGCAACAACACTCTAGAAGCTTCGTCGTTGAATTCCTGCAAAGAGAACCTGGGTTTTATGCCGTTACGTGGATGGCTATCTCCAAACGAACACCTGCGTCCAGTCTTGGTTCCAACGCTTTTACGATCTTACCTACAGAGGAGTGTCCTTTTAGGTATGATAATTAAAACATATTATTTTATAATTTAGACACTGTAGAGAATCAAAAAATGATGCAAATCCAATTGTAAATTATTCGATATTCCTTCTTGTCTTCTTCTAGGTGTCCAGAAATTCATGCGTGCATCAGCCAGGTCCTTTGGTGCGACGGTGTTCGTAATTGTCCTTCAGGAAACGACGAAAAGGAAGAAAACTGTTCGTATCGTTTCGGGCCAACGTTATTTTACGTCGCTATTGGTGCCGGTGCTCTTGGTGTATTCTTCGTCCTTTTATTGGCTACCGGTTGCCTCAAATATTGCCTCTCTCGTCACAAAACACGAAAGAAGAAAAAAAACGTTGCTCTCAATGTAAATCATCATGTTAATCATACCCACCATAATAACGGTTTGACTGGAAGCAGATTAAGCGGACGTTACAATCTTCCGACACCACAGGAAATGTATTTGGAGAATTATGGGAAAGATAGTATTTGTTGACAATACGCCATTACTAATATCGAGACCACCGTGTGAATAGTTTGGATTTTTAATCTGCCTATCTCGCTGACAGGAAAACACGTCAAAAATAATAATTATCGACGGCAGATAAAAGAAAATGAATAATAAAAATGATTATTGACGACAAATAATAATAAAAAAAAAAACAAAATAATTATCGACTGAGTTATATTATCGAGGAATAGGTATATACAAAAATTTTACCACTGGATTCAATTCTTGATGAAAATTTAAAAATCTAATAAATTTGTGATCACCTTAAACGTAACGATGAATTTTTAGATCGTTCTCGTTTAATTTTTTCTAACAACGTTCAGAGAAATGAACGAAATAACGCAGAAATTGTTTTTCCTTTTTTTCTTTTCTTTTCTTTTTCTTTTTAAACACAAGAAAAACTAACAATAAAAGATAGAAATTGTATTGATCGTCAAGAAACAACCCTGGACCGTCGTCTTTCTACTTGTCGAGCTCATCTAGCGTGATTTTCACTCTCACGAACACAGAAACCGACCAAATTCCATCATCCTCGCAAAAAAGAAGAATTATTATTATTATTATTATCATCAGTAAGCTCCGACTTAGTAAACTTAAATGCGCGTTTTTTAGTAAATCATAAGTTCGAGCTGTGAAAAGTGGTGCAGAAGATAGAAGGCGTCGACGTAATCGTCTGCTTTTTACCAAAGAAAAAAATTGCCAGAAGAAAGAAAGAGGAATAAAATAAAAATGAAAAAGAAACGAGAGAGAGAGAAAGAGGGAAAACGAGGAAAGGAGTGGTAGTTTTAAAAAAGAAAATCTTTTAAAAAAAATCTCGCTCTCTCAGAATCTGCGAAGAATCCTTGTTTTTAATTAAAAATAAACAAACGAACGAAAAAAAAATAAAATAAATAAATAAAAAGAAATAATAATAAAAAAAAGACTCAAAAGAAGAGTATCATTTTGAAGAAAGAAAATGACCAAACAAAATGGAACCCATTTTCCGCAGCTTTTCTCTTATTCACACGCGACAACCACCATTTTCACGATCTTTTCATAATAATATATCGAGAAAGGAAATATATTTTTCACTCTCGTCTCTTCCCCAATCTCTCGAGAAGTCAAAGATTAAAAAAAAAAAAAGAAGACGAAAGAGATGAAGAAAAAGAAAAACTAAAACTAAAGTAAAGTAAACTAAAAACTACAAACAAAACGTATGTCATCATCCGTCGATGTAGGCACCATTTTGTAATCATGGATGACTTTACGAAACACACTCGTCCATAAAACTTACACAAATACATACATACATACACGTACACGCAAAAGTACATTTAAAAAGAAAAGAAAGAAAGGAAGAAACCCATAACACATACATACACACACACACACTCAACACGTAAAAAAACGTTACATGATTCCTATTATACCTAATCCAAACTTTATAATCATTTAAAAGCGACTGATATTAAACGCATAGATAAATCGCACGTGTACTCTAGGTTTGATATCGATCGAGCAAAGCTTGAACCGACCGGTAGAGTTGGATGTATAGTTGAAATATTATTATTTAAATGAAAACAAGAGATAAAAAGAAGAAGAAGAAGAGAAAAAAGTAAAAAAAAGAAAGAAAGAAAGAAATAAAAATAAGCAAAGGATCGAATAAGTTTTTTCGAATCCAGATCGACAAAATTGACAATTTAATGTAACATTCTCGTATTTATATTCATGCGAGGAAAAATAAATGAAAGAAAAATATTTACATACTCTTCGTCGGGGTTAGGACCGGACGATAACGATTAGAGGACTATGATCGAATGCTGTGATAGAAGTAAGCGTATCAACAATCGCAACAGGAATTTCTTCGCGTGTTTACTCCTCCTTTTCCTCTTCATCTTCTTAAATTTTAAAAATGGAAAAGGACCTTTTGATCATCACCGAACGACGATGAAATATCGATCTTTCCTTATCCTTTTTCTTATCCGATCGTTATCCAATGAAATATACACGTATACATAATATACAATTATATAATTATATCTTTAAAACGACACTCGTCCCTACTCCCTTCCCTCCCAAAAAAAAAAAAATAATAAATATAAACGATCGCAATCATCTCGTTTGGTACTCGCCAATTTTTTGTACATCGAACGCAAATTTCTTCCTTCCTATATATTTTGTGTTATTTATTTTTTCTTATTTCTCTTCGGGAAAGAAACTAGGACGGTGTCGAAAAAAAAAAAAACAACTTTGATAATTTGAAATTTTTATCTTTTTTATTCGACGTGTCAAAAAAGAATAATCGCGCGACCAATTTGAAAATTGGATTACGTGTGTAGTCCCGAACAAAAACTGCCAATTTGTCCTTCATCAGACTTGTTTTACAAAATTTTGATAAAAATGTCTACGATATCGTTGCGATCCTCTCTCTTATATCCTATTATTATTATTATTATTATTATTATTATATTCAGGATAAAAGGATAATTTTAGTGATTTACATATCGAGTCTTTGAAATATTCTCCGATATTATCCCCCTTTTTAACTATTTGTTTACTCGAACTACTTACCACCGGCAGATAACTCCTTACCGACAACATTGATTGGAATTGCACGGAGGAATAAAAGTAAAAAAAAAAAAGAAAAAGATAAATCGTTGAGTCTTAAACATGCATTAAAGTCTTCGATCATGGATCGAATCTTCCAAAAGAAGCCTCAACTGTTAAGTAAATACGTATGTAGTAATATACATATATACTTATGTATTACCTGTGAAAATATATCTGCGATCTCTACGCGACTATCGAAACTATTGTAAAAAAGAAAAGGAATAAAAAAAAAAGGATTACAACACAGAGGAAAATAAAAAAAAAAAAAAAAAANTGTTAAGTAAATACGTATGTAGTAATATACATATATACTTATGTATTACCTGTGAAAATATATCTGCGATCTCTACGCGACTATCGAAACTATTGAAAAAAAAAAAAGGAAAAAAAAAAAAAGGATTACAACACAGAGGAAAAAAAAAAAAAAAAAAAAAAACTGCCATTAATCGTAAAACCAAAAATGAGAAACTATCGATCGGTAAATCGTATAGTCCGTTTAAGAAACTAAAACTGAAAAAAGAAAAGGTAAAGAGAGAGAGAGAGAAAGAAGGATCATCGATTTATATAGCAAATACGAAATGGAAAAAAGACGAATATTAAAGGAGAAGAAAAATATTAATAAAAACTAAGAAAAAAAAAAAATAAATAAAATAAAATAAATAAAAATAAAACAGTAGCACCGACATGGTTTGCACACGTAGTTGAAGGAAGAAAAAAAGGAAAGAAAATTAAAAAAAAAAAAAGGAAAAATCTTTTCCTTTTAGGAAAAGGAAGAAAAAAAAAATAAGCGACAACAATAAGAACAACAGGTGGTGAGGCAAGAATTATTTGAATCAATGAGGGGCATTGATTCAACGATCTTTCTAAGCAGAATCCTTACACGCTCTCACACATGATGATGATGTACTTGTGTAATTTATCGTTATTTATAATTTCAATAAAAACAACCACAACGATATCGTTGAAAAGTTGCCCACGTTTTTTTTGTCAAGTTTGACTAACCGATTTGAATACTTTTCAATTATTCGACGACTCTTGAAATTTACATTATATATTTACTTATGTGAGTAAATAAGGTATGTTCAAAATAACATTATAAGTGTAATTGTAAGAAGTGTGATTTCTAATTTACACTCATATAAGTTTTTTTAAATCTTTTTTTTTTATCTTCTTTTCTTTCTTTCGTTACGCTCGTGTCGCTCGTAGAAATACTTTAACTAAACTGAAAGGAAACTACAAGTCTTCTTTCACGGATTGCTTCGATACACCGAACATCGCACCCCTTTTGGCACTTCGTTCAAGAAAAAAAAAAGTAATAATAAAAAAATAAAAATAAAATCATTGTAATCGTTGTGTCGACGAAATGGTCTAATCGTGACCGTATATCTGCTAAATGTATCGATTTCTGCCTTTCCACTGGAACGATTACTTTTCTAGAGGACGTCTTGAATTTGAAATAAATTTTACATTGACTAACGAAACTTTCCCTTATTTTCTTCATTTCTTTCACTTTTTCATTTTGAAATATATATATATATATATATTAAGTGTCCTAGATAATTTTTTTCTTCTTAGTTACATATAAAATATTTAAAAATTGCTTTAACTTTAGTTTAAACAAAATTATAAGCTAACGAATCGCACAATAAGACAATGACGTTGTATATCGTAAATCTTCTCAATTATTCATAAACGAATATTTTATCTATTTTCAAAATAATTTGTTGTTTAACTAAACATTTTATATATCATAAGAAGAAATAGATTATTTCTAAAGCATCCTGTACCTTCTATATTTACTTATGTATATTCATTGTAGTATTTCAATGCTGCTTTTCAAGATGACGATCCATAAACTTGAAGAGCAAATTCAGATTTGTTTTACAGGATACCTTAATGGAATAGAGTCCTAACTAAACAACTTCTCAAACGAATAGGTGTCATAGAGAAATCCATGACTTAATCAAAGGAATAGAATATGGATGTAGGGATGAAGCTTGTTGGTTAATCCTTACTGGTTGTCTAATCTGAACGTTATCCATATTCTATGTCCAGCTCTATGTCCAAACAACGTTCCTAAATCAAAGATACTTCAACATATTCCCAAATGATCTCTCTCTCTCTCTTTTTCTTTCTTTTTGTTTATTAGCCTCTGTAAATTTATTTCCTTCTTAAATCAAATTATACAATTGTATATGTTAATTTCTTTTTTGATAGTTTAATATTATATTTTACGAATTTATAATAATGCATATACTACATATTGCAAATTGCAAAGTTATAAATTAATAAATGTTGTTTTTTATTATATAAAACCGCGCTTAGGACCTAACGTGTGCCGTTGATTTTCTTTTTCTTTTTCTTTTCTTTTTTCTATAGATATAATTATTACGTTTCTTCTTTTTCGTTTCACTATTCTTTAATTTTTATAATAATAATTCTAAAACAATCCGACCTATTAAATATAAACTTCATTATTAGTTTTTTTATTTTAATAACTTTATATTATTATATTCAGTAAATTTAAATAAACTAATATCACCTGCACAAATATTCTCAAGATAAAATGGTTGTACAGATTAAAAATTCCCCGAAATTTGTATTATGTATTAACTAAAGAACTTAACATAAATAATTTCATATATAAATGCCAAGGCCGTATTCGTAGGTGTACGACTGCGTGGTGACACAGGGCCCCATGCCATCGATGGTCCCGCAAGACAAAATATTTTTAAACATCAATTAAATTTTTATTAAATACTTAATTATATTTTTTTTTCATTTAAAATTTATATACATGTTACTAACTTTCAGAGAGCCCTTTTTTTTTTATTTCGCACAGGGCCTCGGAAAATGTAGAAACGGACTTGACAATTTCATGTGATATATGAACCTATCATTGCGCAACGATATTCAATAAGAGAAATAGTAAAAGATCATTCTGATTGGTAGATCCATTTTGCATCTACCAATCACCGTCTTCGAAAAGAATATCTAAAATATTTCTTATTTTGCATAATATTTCTCGATAATATTTTAATTTATTTTATGTTTAAATTAATTTATCCATTATAAAAATAATTATTAAAATGAATAATAAATATAAAACAAACACTAAGAAAAAAAGACGCGTTTTTCCTTCATAAGATCTATTATCGATGTTCGATATCGATTACAGTTTCCTGTGATAATCGAAATATTGAAAGAACGCGGTACGTACAATTTCTGACGATGTTTGTCGTATATTTGATAATTATTACGAATATTAATATTATTTATTTACATATGATTTAAATATAACAGACAAAAACGTTTATTATCGTAAAAGAGATCATAATTATTAATATTCGTGTCATGCGTCCTTATTAAGTAATGAAATTTGATCTGATGGTCGGTTTAAAAATTTATTGGTTGCATGACATGTGCATCAACAAGTACGTAGACTTAGAAAAAATTAACGAAGAATAATAATAAATAAATTAGAGTTATCTAATTAGAGAGAGAGGATGATATGTAAGTAAAGATACGTAGAGTAAACACAAATATTCGATGGTCCGATAATTTTGAATTAATTATGGACTGATAAGACGTTACATTTCTCTATCCCCATTAAAACAAAAGACTCTTATGATTTTAGTTTTTTTTCTTATTCACATATTTTTAAAGATTTTTAATCAAAGGGTAATACAATTAAATTTTTATTTGTTCCAAATCTCCGTTAATTTTCTACTATATATTTTTTTTTTTATCTGTTTTGTTTTATTCTTGTTATTAATGTTTTTTTATTTATTAATATTTTTTATTTAACAATTTAAGTAAATTTTATTAGTATTAATTAATATAAATTATTGTAATTCTAATTCTTATATATATTTTAATTTATATTTAGTCTCTTTTTATATATATAGAAAAAATAATATTTTCATTGTTTTAAAAAGCAAGTCATTATGGAGACTGAAAAGAAACATTATGTAGCCTCTAATTGTAAGACTAAGATTAGAAGAACAAATTCTTTATGTAAGAACAAATATTTACCTAAACATCATAAGTATTCACAATCTCGATTACAGTTGAAAGATTTCCATATTGTTTTACATAACATTGCTAATAATGGTTTAATTCCACCGCATCAGAAATACTTAATTACCAAACGAAATAACTTTGGGAAAATAATTGATAATTCTATAGAAAATGAAAGTAAAAAGATCAATAAGAATAAACAAATTGATCCAAAGGAAAGATCTTCGATTAAAAAAAAGAAAAAAGCAAAAAGACAATTGTTTAATGCTACAAATCCATCATGCACTAAGGAACAAGAAACTTGTCCTGTTAAACCTTTATCTTTCAACCATAATGATGATATAAAAGAATATGATTTTAATATAAATGACAAATATAAATATACAGAGAAACATAATAATATAGATACGTGTATTGTCAACATTAATTTTGATAGAAATTTATGTAATGATATATCTAATAACAAAGTATCCATACCTGATAGAGATAATAAAAATAGATTAAATAAGGAAGATTTAAATTGTAAAAAAGATACTAAGATTAACTTTGTTAACAATGAAAATTATATGAAAAATGAGCATTTGGATAAGATAACGCATAATAAATTGTCAGAAAAATTGCAGAATCTTCCATTGATCTTTGAAAACTTCAACGAAATAAATCTTCCAAAATGTAATAAAGTATGTGTACCAAAAATAATAAATGATCATATTTTACATAAGAATAAAGTAATAGTAATAAAAGATTCAAATAATTTACATCATAAGGATTACAGTAGGATGATGATAGAAAATATAGAAATTAATAAGCCTTACTCGGTTGAATTATCTAATGAAGTAGCCGAATTGACAGTAGAAAATTTACATAAATTTACTGAAAATTATGAAGAAAATCATCAGCAGTTACAAATTAACAGATCACTGAATGCAATTGACATAAGCAGCCTTAATTCGATTAACAATAAGGATAAAGATATGCAAAAAATAAACGAGAATAATAGTACTATTTCCTATACAAAAAAGAGGTGGTTCGGTCAAAATGGAGTAACGCAATTTAATCAGACTAATAAAAAATTAAAACTCGATAGATCATTTGTAAACAATAAAAGTCTTAGTGCGACTAATAATTTCCTATATGTCAATGAAAACTCTAATCCATCCTTCAAATATGATAATGTAAATATTAACGCTAATGCAATACAAGATATAGATAATAATGTAACTTCATCTTCTAATAATCATAATGATGATAATGATAATGATGATAATGATAATGATGATAATAATAATAATACTAATAATAATACTAATAATAATAATAATAATAATGATAATACTGTATGTAAAATACAGTTTATACAAGAATCCAGTGAGATTTATTGCGATACGAACAAAAATCTTTCTAATAGATCAAAAACGATATTTAATTTAGACAATGAAAAAAACGAGTCGAAACTAATTAAAGAATATGGTACAAATGTTGAACATTTTGGTGAAGATAATCTGCTCAAATATGAAATATCAGCTTGTAGTACGCAATTAGACTACCAAAAGCAAATCGGAAATAAAACTCAAGATGATAGTAACGACGATGATTACATTTCCATATACTCAAATACATCTTTAATTCTGTAAGTATATTAATGTTATTTCATATAATTATAAATATATTAACATTTTTTAATGTTTTTCGATTATAATTTAAATATTTGAACATTATAATGGTAATAATTAAATACTTAAAATATTATTTTAAGAATAATAAGTGTTTTCTTATAGAGATGAGATTCTTATGTCATGTTATAAGAACATAGAAACGAATAAATGTGAAAAGAATAAAATCGCTCCAAATACTTCAGATACGAGTAAGCAACATAATAATTTAGAATGTGTTAAAGCATTAGATACTATTGCAAAATCTGATATTCCATTAAATAACAAATTAACAAATTTGCAAAACACGAGTAAATACAAAGAAACGCAAAAAAATAATACTTCTTCTATAAAAACAATATCCACGCATACTAATAAATCCACTATTTCTAATAATAATAGAAAATCTAATCTAAGAAATAATAATAATAAAAACTCATTGCCAAATGGTAATTGCAACGTATACAGTACAAATACTTTTTCTGATAATAAAAATATAATTGAAGTACCTACGAAAGTACAATTGTGGAGTTATGATATGCATAGAGAATATTGTCTTCAAATCATGAAAGATAGCTTTTGCAGAAACAACATAAACAAGAAATGCCTTTTGAAACATGAGGTATGTAAAATCTTTTTCTTTTAAAATTCTATTTAGAATAATAAATATCTTATTCGACAAACTCTTTTTTGGCGCAAATAATACAAATTTCTTATTTATTTTTTTGTTTGTTTCCGTTTATTACAGCTGCAAGAATTAATTAATTATACTATAATTAATTATAAAGAACATCTTACGAATATACTATTTCATTTGTGTTCTTTGAGATACACATTTTTATTAGGAGAATTATATATTCAAATCATAGACGAGCTTAATATAATTTCCATTTTTAGTATATACAAAGAGTTTTATTTACAAGAAAGGCCATATTTCAAACTTGTTTATACTACTGTACAAGCATTACTAAAAAAAGGAATGAATCCAAGATACATAATAGATAAATTGTGCCAAATTCATTATAATGATAAGTTAATATTGCATTATATATTAATTTCGATGGAGCAAAGAATAAAACCTTCTGAATATTGGGACATTTTAAGTACTTTGTTTGAATTTATAAAACCAGATAAGAAAATTATCGAGACGATATTAAATAATTGTATAGTAAATCGCAAACATGTTGAAGATGTTAATATGAATTTAATACAAAAGTTACATCCCGATGAAATTAATCAATTAGATGAAAATTTACTTTCATCTTTCAATAGGTTATTATTACAACATCAATGTAAAAATAACAATCTATCTTCGTATACAGTAGATAGTAATAAAAGTCTTTATTACTCTCCTTTGCACAAATTTGAAGAAAATTATAATGAAAGATTTTCTGACAATTCATATGTGTCGTGTCCAATTAGTAAGTATTATAAAATAAAACAATAATAATATAATTCTTTTTGATACGTATATGTATATATTCGACATGATATAAATTATTATTGTAAGCTAGATTAATATATGTTAATATTCTTTATTATATTTATTTTATAGATGATTTATCTGAAAAATGTTATCTGTACAGAACGCTATACAATTTAAAGAACAAATTATTATTTGGAGATTACGATTATATTATTAATATGTTAACTACATATCAAAAAACAGATGAAGATAAAATATTATGTTATCGTTACTGTTTTCAGATATTTTGTAAGGAAATAAATTGTGGGGAATATTATGTGTCTGAGATTATAAAGCATGCAGGTAAATTCGATTGAAATTTATTTTCTTAATTATTTTGTTATTTTGTTATTTTTGGATTAATTTAATAATAAGTAATAAATATTTCATTTTTGTACTTTTCAGTCAGAATTGGTGCGAACGATGAAATTATCGATGTATTAGTGGATATTGCCATATATATTTTAATGAAGTTAGTTATAAACGAAATTTGGATATTGGCATATAAATTACTGAATACCTTAGAAATATGTTTTGTGAACTGTGATGCTACATTCCTTCTCTTATCAGCTGAAATTTATTTAGCAAATAATCAAGTTAATAAAGCGTTCATGTTACTCAAGGGTAAATTTATAATTAATTATGAAACATTACATATGAAAGAATAAAATAAACGATTAACAGATCAAATAAAAATATCTGTAATTAAAAAAGTGATATTCAGTGATATATATTCACATATTATATAAAAATAAATAATTTTTTCAGAAAGCAATATAATAAGTTCAAATCATCAAGATTGGAATGTTTTAAGTAAACCAGAAGATTGTTATCTTCGAACGAAGATAATACAAATTTTATTGGATGCACTTTGTAAAGAATCATCAGAAAATGCATTTTTTATGTTTCAATTTTTAGCTAAAGATCAAAATAATAATTATGAACCTATAGGTAAGAAAATTAATACTAAGGATAAATTAATATATAACATTACAAATGTATATTTTTGTATGTTTCAGATCTGTCACAATATGTTGACAAATTAATGTTGAAATTTTTATCAACAATGGAAATTGAATTGGTCGCTGCAATGGGACGTTTAATAATCAAATATAATTTCACATTTATCAATACAATAGTATGTCGTGCTGCAATAAAACTTTTATTTCACAGTGATATTATGCTTGCTAAAAGATTGTATCAATATGCATCTAATCTCGGCATATATGAGTCGATAGAGGTAATTTAAAGATTTTTCTTCTTTTTGCAATTAAAAAAAATAATTTTTAATAATTATTATTTTATCACAGGGTATGTTTTAATTGGTGGCACTAGCGAACAGAAGGTGATTCTAAATGAAACATTTATATAAACAAATTTTAATCTACATTTTCGAATTAGTTTGTTTATGTATATAGAATCACACACATTCCCTGCTCTCGCTTATACCAACAGTTATAGGATACCTTGTATATATATACATATATATTTCTTTTTTTGTAATTCACATTTAATAACGAAAAATAATATTAATTAAAGTTATCACCCGTTATACATATTATAATAAATATTAAGTGGGTAAAAGAAGAATTATATTTAATATTTTGGGAGTTTTTTCAAAGACTTTCTTTAAGCATAAAACATAGTACCAATCAAATTAAACCCAAGGAGCTATATATATATATTATTTTTCAGGTAAATATTATATCTTATTGTTAAAAAAAAACAAATTATTATTTAAAATTTTTATTATGAGTAAATTATTTAATAGGAATTATCTACGGAAACACATCCTTATGTTCAACAGTGTTACGATACTATGACAAAAATAAATTGTAGTAAAAAATTGGTAAGACATGTATTGGATACATGGTTTGGTCCGTCGTTAATATCAGCATTAAAACTAAATGGAAATATAATGCAGTTGAATTGTAGCTCAGTTATAAATTACCTAAAGCTTACTTTCGAATAAATAAAAATGTTCTAAAATATTATTTGGCTCCAAGCATAGATGCAAATTTTTTATCCAAAATTTAAGAACAATTATTTGCATTATTTTTTGATTTATTAATTTCTGACAATATAGTTTATCTACAATGCTTTTAAATATATATTTTTAAATAAACTATACAAATGATTTAAAATGTAGCTAAATATTATTTTATAACAAATAATCTGCATGCAAAAATACATAGGTAACACTCATTGATAAATTTCTGCGTAGAGTTAATTGATAATAGTTTTCTAATATATTTTTTATATCATATCAATATTTCTAAATAAATATGAGAATAAGAAGACTGAAAAACTGAAAAGAAATATATATATATATATATTTTCTTTGTTTTGTTTTATATATAAAATACTGTGTACGAATCAAAATAGATGATGGGAAGATATAAGTAATTATATATATATATATATACACACCACACTTCTTTATATATATTAAACTAACTTAATCAAACTCAGGTATATCATCGAAAGAATAACCAGGTACTTTTTGATAAGCTAATATAGCAACTCTCATGTGGTACGCTCCAGGTATGAACATTAAAGCTCCTAAAATAATCACAGGCCACATTCTATCGGAATACTGTAATAGAGAAATAAAATAATTCATTGCATTAAAAGTTAATATATAATTTTTAACTATATTTTGTTAAACATATAATGATCTGTAAGAACATTATATTATATTTTATACTATTATGATTATATATTTCTTTACAAGGCGATAAGAAGAATAAAAGAAGAACTTTACTTTGGAATCAATGTGCCCGCTGATTATTAAACTTCCCATTATGAGCATAACGGTTCCTCCTACAAATAGAAGAGCAGCAAGTGTGATGGCTTTCCATGGTATTTTCACTGGCGGATTCACAAACTATAGAGGGGATGGTTAACGTTAAAATCATTGTAAACCTGGATTACCTTGAACACGTTATAGATTTTAATTTTACTACACCGACACTTTTTAACTCATTCTTATCCATCAAATATATTTTTTCTATAAATCTTTTTACATAAAAAAATTAGTAGACAATCTTTCCAACTATTTTAGATATCATAGAGAAATATTATTAATCGTTTACCTGTGAATCTATAAAGCCATTATCGGTCTCAGTTAGCTGTGTGTAATCCACGTTGTTAAATTGTCTCTCTCCGCTACCAATTTTTCTTCTGGACATACTCACTTTATGATTGTAATCTGTAACGTTAAGTCACATTATTATTTACTGATACACGAATAAATTTAATTTAACTATTTTTTTATATGATTTAATTTTTTTACAAATATTAACATATTTTTATGAAACTTTTTAAACATTAATTGATCGTTCAGAAAAATATTGTTTTATATCTAATTGCGAGAGAGAGAGAGAGAGAGAGAATATAAATAAAATGTTAATATGTTTACCCAGACGAGGACGCCAATGCACATATATCTCTAACGACCTGTCATTTATCTTTGATCGCTTATGATGCAGTAAAACGCGCATTGCGCAGTTAAAACATGTCGATTGTTATTATTTATGTACATACAAAATTATTATTTTCAGAAATAAGTATTTGTCTATAGTACATCTCAATACAATATATAATAGAAATTGTATTCGTGTACTGTAATAGTATAATTTATTGAAGTTATACTTCTTTTAAAATTGTGAAACTATACACAAAATTTTAAAATCAATCAAATGGGGTTAACCTCAAATATGATAAATGTTTTTTATCACGAACGTGTTTGTTCTATCTAAACAAAAAAAAGGTAAAGAAATGTACCGCGCACTTCACTACAATAAAATCGAACAGTGAAATCGATAGAAATTAAATAATTAATTTTTTAATTGTATATTAATCTCGTACGATCGTATATAATTTGATTAATCTATTTTATTTTATATATTTATTGGAAATATTTTGTTTTATTTATTAATTATAAACAATTATCTCCACACAATTAATATTATTCACAGTGTTATTCCAATATGTTACATTATCCGTATGATAAATTGCGTTAATAGATGGCGATTGTGTAATGCCAATACTCGTGCTGCCATCTACGCAACATTCGAAACTAACGGAGCGGGAATTTTATGGCGTTCATCGTAAAATAAATTAACATCGAAATAGTCTATTAAATGTAACAATCAATGTAACGTGATCTTTTATCGTAAATTTCAATTATATTTTATTCAACAGGAATAATTAAAATTAACTAATTATTTTTTACTAATCAAACAGTATTTCTCAAAGTATTTAAAGTAATTTTTGTAGCACGGATTGATGAACAGGTCAGAGGATCATTTGGAGAACAAAATGTTGTATATTCGTGATATTAATTAAAACAATGATTAATAAAATAGAATAGAGTATACCTGCACCGAACCAGCTGGTCCACATATCAAAGAGACCAAAGGAAGTTATGAAAAATAATCACCATGAAGTATCTTCTTCTTCTTTCTTGAAAGAGAACACGTCGATCGAATCGATGTTATTATTTCAAAGAAAATAATATTATCTTTTCGATAGCTACATAATTCGTCGTTAATATAAATTAGGACAACAACGTATAAACGTCTTCGAATAAGTATTTTTCCTTTTCTTCAAATTACTAATAATAATTCCAGATATAACATACACAAATCTCTTAAACGAGCTTTGACCTAATTTGAAAAGTAATTTCGAAAGATCATATATATACAAACATACGATTAAAAATAAATTAGAACGATTAGAGAATTAATCGGTGAAGGATGCAAATGCATCTTCCTTTTTCATCCCTTTTTTTCTTATTCTTTTTCTCACAGTTATATTTCTTTTATAGGTGTTTGTTCTTTTAAGCCGATCGACGGGTCCTCGAGAGGTGTTATCTTGAAATTTGTCCTTGATCGAACGGTCCGGTAGCCGGAAAGGCACTTCAACGAGGCTCTTCGAAGTATACGTTTCTCCTCGTCGAATGTTCTAGCATAACGCGTGACAGTTTGAAGATACAATGAAGAATACCGAGGTACATAGCAAACAGGAAGAAGTGAAAAATCGCGGCCGTCCTTCCACTAATTTCGCTAGAATCGATCTGTGAGAAGCGTCGTCTAACGGTGGAGGCTGTGAACAGCAGTGCCGGCCGATTGCGGAAAGGAACCAAGACGCATAACCGTCGCATTGTGCCGCACCGAACAACCGATTCTGATTCATCTACTAAATCTAAACTCACAAATGTTATTACAATTAAACCCTGCAATATCATTATTTTGAAAATATTTTCACTTAATTTTTCTTCGAAATATTTAATAATTAACGCTAAACCACATAATCAAATTAACCGACTTTTCATTCAAAAAGTAAATTCTGCATTAATGGTTACTCTCTTTTAATTTTGGTATTGATTTTGTTATAATTATAACGATTAATATTGTATCATAGAAAAGAAGTATTATAGTATTATTTATTAAAAAATATAATTTTTCTTTAAAGATCGGTTATAATATAAATACGATTGATATAATACAAATATTCGAGATAAATTTAATGTTGATTATATTCAAAGTAAAATATTTCTTATAAATAATAATAAAAGAAAATAAAAAATCGTTGTAAAGTCTATATCGCAATCTGTGTATTCGATTGGTCATATTAAACACGCTTTATCTTATAAAACTAAAATAATAATTTAAAGACTATCGATTAAAAAATAACACGCGTATATTTAAATATAAATATAGAATAATTATAAAAAGATTAGATAAAATATATCGTCGTGATTAAATATATATTAANTATATATTAAATATATATATATATATATATATATATATTATATATATATATATTTCTTTTTTTTATTTAAAGGGGTAGAAAATTGTAAATGGGTATTTGAAAGGATTAATACGATACTGTATAAAAGGGAACGCATGCGCTAAAACGACCCGTATGATGAACAGTGTTCGAAGGATGGCGGTGAGCCAGGGGCGGCAGTGCGGGTTTAGGGGGCGGCGAGGGCGGGTGCCTCCGTTGAAACAACCCCTTGACAACAGGCCCGCGATCAGTCTCGCCCTCGACGTGTCACCACTGTACTGCTCTCTTTCTCTCTCTCTCTCTTTATAATTCTCTTGCTTTTTCTTTCTAATTGTTTCTATCTTGAACGAACGTATTAATGAACAAACGAATTAACGAACGTTGATTAACGAAATAACGCAAGAATCTTACTTGTGATAGTATATAAGTTTTCTTTTTTTTTTCTTCTTCTTGTTCTTGTTCTCTTTTCGGTAGGGATTGTTCTTTACCAAAAAGAAAGAAAGCAAAAAATAAAATAAATAAAAGAAGAAGGAAAGGGATCGATAGATCGCCAACCTTGAGGATCATCACACGTATCTTCGAATCTATTTCTCGTTCGCGTGCCGTCGGTGCTTCGTGGTGCTTCGGCTGCTTTAGTGTGGCACCTCCGTAGACCGTCCCCGCTCATTCAGGTAAATCGATAGTAGTATACACATATACATCAGTTAGATTACATTTTTTCTTATAGGTAAAAGAATACATTTTTTTCATCCCTTAAATGAGAAACGAATTTTTATTAAAATGTGGTAAATTCGTCGAAATTTAGCCGGTCCAATTCAAATGACGCAGTTAGTATACTTTTATCCATCGTCTTTTCGTATCGACCTGAACTTTTCACTACTCTCTGATTAAATTCCCTTCTCTATCTTCTTTTTTTTCTTTTTCTTTTATTTTATTATTATTATTATTATTATTATTATTATCATTATTATTATTATTAATATTATGATGATTATTATCAAATACAATGAGATTAAATAAAATACGCGCGCGGTTCTCAAGAGGATAAAGGTATGCGATAGGGAAGCATAGTGCTTCGTTGTTGTGACATCGAGAATATCTGTTTGAATCATGATATTAAAGCTATCTGTCGTAATATATTCTAAAGTGGAATAATTACCTTATCTAAAAATTTTCATTTCTATTTGTTAATACGATAAATCATTTATTTTTCTTTCTTATCGTTAATTATAAAGTTTAATTACAATTAGATATATAATTTTAATCGTTATGTTACTTTAATTTTTCATTATTTTTCCAAGATTATTTAAATGTAATATGTTTTTATGTTAAATTGATTAAGTATTTGTCAAAGTTAATTATTGCAATGTTATTTTTTATACGTTAAAATGTATATAAACCTATTGACAATATAATTACGATAGTTTTTAATATTTTACAATAATACAAATATATATTATTCGATGTTTTATTTTTTTATATTTATGAGTAAAATTTATTGATATTTATGATAACGTTTATATTAATGTAATTAAATGAACGTTTTATTCATGTAAATTATATACTATTGCATCGAATGCAAAGCTACGTGGATTACTTCCGTATTGTATGTATGCCCACTGTGGATAGTCTGTAAATTGGAAACCTTAGGCTAACTATTACTACTGAATATTTTACAAAGTCTACAATGACCTATATAACATGATCGAACCTTTAGATACTTCAAATATCTGCTTAACTTTTATATGATCATTATAATCGTAATAACATATAATTACGTATAAGTAATTTTATCGAATCAATTGTGAAAATCGTCATTCAATGGTCATTAATTATTTGTGTACAATTAGAATAGAACGATATTATATTTCGAGAAACGTTTCGAAGGTAAAAAGTATTATATCATCATCGTCGATAATAATTTTTCCATTTAATCAAATAACGAGAAACTTAATTAAACTTTTATGAATGCTAATGTATAATCTTATTGAAAGTTTTCTCGATTGCAAAGGATTACGTCATTTTCAAATAATTTGCAATAGTTGTCTTAACGAAGAACAAATTGCTTCGTATTAAAGTGAATTGAAAATTTTATCAATGCGTATTTGATCATATTCAAATTATATTAGGTTATTCAATCAAATTTAACATTTTTATTACCACGACGGTCATCTATGATTGACGCTCATCTTTTGACAAAGTGAGGATCCCTTGGAGATCATTTGTGATTACTGTTCTTACTAGATTTTTTAATCCTATCTTATATATATATATTTTATATTTTATCTTAAAAAATAATAATGATCACTTACAGTTAAATGTATAAAACTTTTCGCGAGTATAGTCAACGTATTACATGTGTAGAACAACGAATATTGTTATAAACAATATGGACAGTTGTTTCGTATGTTTATGTGCGTGTAAGTTACGGTTTCGATCCTTCTTCGGTTTGCAGTTTTAGCTTTATTGCGTTAACATGCTGACTGTTACGTTGATCATTCGTGAGAAGTGTTTGTTTTTTTTTTTTTTTCAATAGGACCATAAGGGTCATCCGTGACAGGATGCAATTATTTATATTATCTTTTATCTTTTATTTCAGAATAATACGATATATATATATATACACGATATACATCTACGATAAAATATGTAAAACTTGAAAATTGCAGTCAAGGTGTTAAAAGTCCGTCATACTAGAGCGTGTTAGTTGGGAGAGTCAAAAAATATTTTCGCCGTTGGTTAGAAGGCATTTTTTTTTTCTTTTTTTAATTCCTTCATTTTGTTATTTTTTAACCGTAAAGCTTGGTAATTCCTAAAGCCGTATTTTATATTATAAAACAATTGATATTTAAATGAGATATTTAATTTTATTCGATAGAAATAATAAGAAATGCGTGCTGAGTTAGATCAATTTTATCATAATAAGAAAATCATTTAACTCGATTGTTTTTTTCAGTAAAAATCCATTTGTTACGAGCTCGCGAGAATCAGAAAATCTAATTTATACGTTTCGTGATACAAAGGAGAAAAGTTCATTTTAAATTATACGGTATTATAAGGAACTTATCAAGATTAAATGATATATATATATATATGATTAGAAAGCTCAATTATTCTGTTATTTTTCTATTTCAGTATGGAGTGCCCGAAAGCAGTCAAACAAGGCCGTAATTTTCGTCTGCTTACGAAGGACGAGCAACCGGAACTTCTTGACTACCTCGGAAAACATTTACCCCTGTCGTTGAAGGTGTGTGCGTGTGCGTATACGTCACCATATATATATATAAATCTACTTCAGATGGAGACAAGGATTAATGCATTGTGATATCCAATCGGTCGTCATCAACATTGACGTCGTCGTTCTCCTCGTCGTCGTCGTCATCATCATCATCATCATCACTGCCATCATCTTAATCATCATCATCGAAGAAAATGAGTGTCGAATATAATTACTTCCAGAAGGGATTTAACCTAAAAGGGTGTATTTTAAAAAAATATACGAGAACAGCACTATTAATGTACAGGAGTGGATCGAAGAGGCACACAAAAGCAATGAAAAAAAAAAAACAAAAAAAAAACAAAAAAAAAGGAGAAAAGTCGTAAAAATAAGAATGATTTAATGAAGGATACTCTATTTTATCATTGGTTTTGTGGTGGGAAAAGGTAACACATCGATGTTATCCCTAAAAAGTATACATATATCGAGTTTAACTGCATCGTCGTAATCAACTGGAAATGTCAACTATATACATACGTTAGGTTAGGTCAGGTCAGGTTCAAGGTCATGCGTGATACGCACACTTCAGAACCGGCGGTGATACGTCTAAATAGATTTACATGCCGGTAACTACACTCTCCTGCTCGTGTCATGAAAACTACATGTCGGTTCTTTTCCGTTTTCTCTCTTTCTCTTTCTCTCTCTCATCATGTTGTTGGAAAGCGCGAGGACGTTCTTAGCGTAACGTAGAGGTAGAGAGAGAGTTACGGTACCAAGTAGTCGGGAGAGTCCAAGGTCAGGGTCACGTTCTCGCACGCGGTTCTCCTCTATTCGCGAATCGCCGCAGTGCCGATCTCGCGACCTCGACTTTAGTCAATTCGACTTGCTTGCTTGCTTACTTGCTTGGCTTGATTTTGGCTTGGCTTGGCTTGGCTTGGCTTGGCTTAATATTCACCTGCGCAACACGCTCCTTTCCAAAGATTCGGATCTCTCTCCCACTCTTTATCACCTTCTCCTTTTCTTCCTTCTCTTGTTCTCGCACCTTTTCATCTTCTTATTCTTATTCTTATACATACATACATATACTTATATATATTTGTAGGATACATCATACGTACAAATCTCTTCCGTGACATTTGAAACTTGTCGCTATGTTACACTCTTGGCAAAACGATTTTAATGTAACGTAACACTCCTACAACGATCAAGCATGTGAACTGTCATGAGGATCCATTTAAAGTTCAACCCGTTCCCAAATTCTTTTCACAATTATGCATATACGACACAATTATTCGATCGATTCAGAATAGTTTTCATTCGTAACCGTAAACGGATAACGTGACGTAAATAATTTTCACTCAACGTATATCATCCCTCTATTACCCCTGAATAATTTTTCGGTAATTTTGATGAGTATTTATTTTTAGTTTCTTTTTTGTTTATTCTTAGTTTTTTTAATATCATGTGACGATGAACCGCGTATGACATATTTGTCTTATAACGTATTTATATATCTTCATAAACTGTCGTCGACCTTTATTTATTTTGCACATTAAATTTATTCGGAATTATATGGAATGATTTGTTTAAATGATAGTTAGCTTGCCGTCTCTTTTATTCGGACATTTTGAAACATTTTTATTTTAATTGATCGCATTAAAGGATTCTTTTTCGTTTTACATATGTGCTTCAATATTTTATTCATTCGTGTCAATGAAATAATAAAAATGACGATGATTATGTCATTCGTTTAATATATACATAATTTTATTTATTTATTTATTTTATACAATAAATTTGTAAATATATATATAGAAAGGTAAATGAACATTAATTTATTTTATTACATTTGTAATAAAAAATAATATAAAAATAATTAGTATCTTTTTATGATAATTTTCTACAAACATTTAATATTGAATTTCGAATAATTTAAAAAAATGATTTATACATTATTATTTATATATATAATTTTTTGATTTTGTTAAAAACAACGTGCGGGTCCGCACGAGATAGATAAATTTATAAATTTCATTTTTGAAAATGATAGACTTTTGATGCCAATGGGTTGGTCCGTTGTAAAGTCCATCGATTCGGCGGCCGGTGCGAGAACGTAAAAGCGAAGGCTTGCCTGCTTCCGTACGACCTTGACCCTTGAATACCCCTCTTGCATGTCGCGAGAAAACGAACTCCCGATTTATTTCCAGGATAAAAGTTATATGGACGTTATACGATCGACGAAAACACGATTCGAGCTTTTAACTTTGAATCTATCGAGACGGATTAATTCATTTGGATATATATATCGATTATTTTTTTTTATATAAAACAAAAGAGATTAACACAATTTGGTATATTCGAGAAGAATCTTATTTCTATCTCTCTCCCTCTCTCTTTTTCGTTAGAATTAAAACACAAAAGTTAATCCGATTTAAAGCTCATACAATTTTACTCGCATTTAATGAGAACGTGATTGGTAATAAATTTGATAAAATTATTAGGCGTCATATTTATTTAATCTTTTATAAAGGGAATTAAATTGTATCAATTTGTCAGTGTATATAGTGAGTTAATGTGTGCGTGTGTGTGTGTGTGTGTGTGTGCGCACATATAAAATATTGAGTTGTTCGAAAAGTAATTTCGTTTTTCGCATAGCAATTTCGTTAGTAATATTTATCGATATCGAACCTTACTTCACATTTCAAAATCATTTTATATTCTAGCAATAGATATTTCAAACGTTATTTAAAACCTTATCGCATTACGATCCGTCGAGTAATTTTATTTTTTACCAATCGCATTAGGAAACAGAAAATCAATGTTAACATTATTGTCAGATTTTTATTTTTTATTATGGTAAAGAGTAAAAATGTTGTGCAAGGAAGAACAAAATTATCTGTCGTTTACTTTGTGTGTGTGAGTGAATTGATTTTTGAACTTTATATATAGTGAATATATATATAAATATGATATATTCATATCACTTATAAAATACCTTGGACTCTAAATATGAAAAATATCTTTTCTTATTTACTATATCGATAAAAAAATGAAATTATCTTCCGAACAATCTAATAAATTTTTGTATGTAAGGATTACTATAACGAGCATGATATTTACAGGCTGAGATACTTATTAAATATTATTACGTTTATAATATTTTAATATATAATTAAAATTCAACAAACTTGTGTTAACTGAATACGTTTTCTTTGTTTTTGTGCGTTAAAATAACTTAACTCGTATTTACATATTTATTTATGTTACTTTTTAAAAAGATATATGATAGATTTATAAATCGAATATAATGATACATTTTCATTACTATATAAATACCATGATTTTCTTGTTTATGTCAAAGATCGCGTATAAAAACAAGATTCTTTCATAGAAACAATTCACAACTTGTTTGCTGGAAATGCATATTATATAGGAGTAACATTAAAAACTATTCCTGGTTTATTTCAAGATTTAACATGTCTCGATTATTGCCTTAGGCTAGATCCGTTTTATCCACTTCTTTGTTAGATATCTCGACCTTTTCTTTTTCCTTTACTTTTCATTTTGATTATTCCCCTTGTCGTTTTTTTTTACCTGCGTTTAATTGTATTTCTCCTTATTTGTTTTCTTTTCTTTTAATTGGAGAAAATATTTTAATCTCTTATGCGTTTATATATAAAATTGACGACAAATTTATTTGTCTTACGATTAAAGAATATTATTAAGCTTAATTAATTTAATTTTCTGGTTTTCAAAAAAAAAAATCGTCTTTCGTTTTGCAGTTTCATCAGACGCTGTTGACTTACATGAAGGACAAAGTATGGGAATTCTATTTTTATGTGCCAAACGAGTGGCCGAACATACAAATATGTCTGCACTTCCCAGGAATGACGCTGTCTGTAAGTTCAAATTATATTTATTATTCTTATATGTGCATATCCTTACGATTGTTTAAATTCTTTTGATTAATGATTTATGAAAAACACGAACGACAAAATTACGAGAAAAAAAAAGGATACTCGTTTACATAATCCAAGAACGATCAATGAAATATCGTTCAAACTTCGTACATTTTGTTCTCTCTCTCTCTCTGATAAAACAAAAAGAAAATATTAAAAAAATCAAAAAGTAACGAGACATTAACTAACGCGTCTTAACATTTTTCTTGGCTCAAATAATCTTCACATTATATCACGAAGAAAAAAGTTGAAAGCAATTTAAACAAGGACGATGCAGTTGAAATCGTAAAAATTCGCGATGACATCCATGATCGAATATATATACCAACTATACGATAAGACAAATACAGTGAAAAGGGGCATTCAATGTCAGTTTACTAGTTCTCTTTGAATTGTGTCTGGAAAGGACGTATTTCAAACGAGAAATAGACAGCCAGAGAGAAAGAAATAGAGAGAGAAAGAGAAGAAGGAGAAGGAGGAAGATGAGGGGTTGAGGGTGAGATAAGTGGGAGGTAGAGTACACAAGGATTGGCCCATATTCACTATTGGCCCTTCGCCAAATTTCGACATTGTCCTTCGAATTTTGTCTTCTTTCTCTCTTCTACTTTCACCTCGATTTATCCGAGCACGTTGACAACCGTTAATTTCATCTTGAATTATATTAGCTCTCTCAGTAATTACTGTTTTAAGTGTCCAACTCTCTCGAAGCAGACATTGTGGAGCCAAAGAATTTTCTATCGGTAACACGATACCGAGGTTGTACCATTTTACCAAGCAATCATATTCTCATCTCAACTTAGATATTTGATTTTTTTGTTTTCAGCCGCACGGTTTGCTGTACGAAAGCGTGGGAGTATTCTGTCCTAACGATCATCTGGAACAACTGAACCTACTGCGTGATGAGGATATCCTGATCGACTGGTCAAAGCCTCTTTATATTAATTTTGTTCACATAGACATCGCTAATAGACTGGTAGAACTTTACAAGGATATCGGGAACGTTGATATGGTAACTGTTGATGTCTGGGCTTGCGAAGATTTAGAACTTTTAGATCGAAAGGAGGAAACCGAGGAAGAAAATAATCCGGATGTACAAGTGTTACCACTTAAGGCCGAACATGCTGAAGGGATTTACGAGCTTTATCCTGCTAACGATATAGAAAGTCACGAGGTCTTTCTACGATTGATTAAATCCTTACCAGCTGGCGGTGTCTTTTGCAAGGACAGTTTAGCAGCGTGGATGGTGCAATCTTATTACGGTGCTATGTTCTCGATGCAGACCAAGCCCGAACATCGTAGGAAAGGTTATGGAACAAAATTAGCAAGGTAAGTTTAAGGTCATAAGATTTTCAATTATAAATTCAATCGATTTATTGATAGAAAAGTATTGACAAATACACAACGCGTAACCCCCGCACTATGTTGAGATGACTTTAATTCTTTTATTTTCTTTCTTCTTTTTAGGTACCTGACGAAACGCGTAGCCGAAAGGGGTTACAGTCCGTTCGTAGTTATACGTCCGGAAAACGACGCCAGCCAGAGCTTGTATAAGAAATTAGGTTTTAGGCAGCTATTTCAAACAGTTCGTATGATATTCACGCCTTCGTCGTGGCAGGAAACCGAAAACGAGGCTAGCAATATACTCAGGGAGAATCTCGAAAATGCGGTTAGACAACTGAACGTTGAACAGAGGGTAATAGCTGCTCTTCGTGGCGAAGAGAATAAAAGTGTAGCGTCCGTCGAAGTACAAGAAGTCGAGAATGAAGAAACGATAAGGGAAGGTGGTTCGGACTCTAACGAGGAAACTGAGGTCGTTGTCGAGGAATCGGAAGACGAGAGTTATGCTCGGGACGAGGAAGTTCTAGAGCCTATTGAAGAACAAGAGGAAAGGATAGAAGTTGTCGAAACTAAGAAAGGAAATAATCAAAATCAAGATAATATCCAACTCGAGGATGCTTCTAACGTTGATAACAGCAACGAGAGAGACGAAATCACGATATCGCAAACAACAGAAATTGAATCTGTTGTTTGTGATTAAACAAAACAAAACCAAAAAAAATAACAGTCCATGCCTCTTGTCGTTTTTCTTTACTCGAAGATGATTATATACGTTCCGTGCATATAACACACCAATGTCGTAAAAAATTTATCTGTACAATTGTTTCAATTATTTTTCAACATTTTCTTAATTCTCGTTCTTCTAAATTATTCATTAGAATTACAATTGAAATGATTTATTTCCCTGATATCGATAGTAATATTTATTTATCTTTAATTTCGTAACACACGCATCGAGTCAATTTTTGACATAATGATTTGACGTAAGTCTCTTCGAGTAATCGAAACAACGAGGTGGAGAGAAACAAAAAAGAAAAAGACAAAAAAAGAGATATTTTATGAAATTTCCGCGTTTCCGCACCGCGCTCGCGCGAGGTTTCGAGTGCGTATAATTCACTCACAACACATCCACATACAGCATACACCACACACATACCCACACAAAAATACACTCATAGAAACACTTGCGTAAAATCCGTCGTATGTTACGACGAGTTTTTTCATATCAAATTCTTACGAGGAAAATTTTAGAGAATTAAAATATCAACGGCTGTAAACTCTTCTTAGTTTTTTTAACAACTTTATAATGAAACGATAACATCGACAAAGTATACCACAGTGATTAGAACAAAAAAAAAAAATAAAAAAGTATCGTAATAATAATTATATTGTTGTAAACGATGAATACGAATTAAGATCAAAAAAAAGGATGTGTAAATTAACAAAAAAAAAAAAAAGAAAAAAAGAAAAAATAGTTTCGTTCTAATAGCTAAAGCAACAATAATTATAACAAAATGACGATCCCCCGACACGTGGTAATCTTCGAATACTCTCACGGGTATTGATTGATCTGTGATTATATTTTTATTTTTAATTAACTAATTGTTAAACATATAATATTCCTTTTCTTATATTTATTTTATTATTTTATTTATATGTGTTTAAATTATAAAATAGAATATAAATGTTAGTTAAAACCTCGCGCGATCACGATACGCTTCCCCTTTAACAATTACGAGATAGATTCGACTCGCTGTGTTGGTGCAACCGATGTGTTAAAAGTTATAAATAAAAAAAAGAAAAAAAATAATAAAAAATAAAAAAGACGAGTAAAAAGAAGAAGAAAAAGAAAAGAAAAGAAAAGAAAAGGAAAGAAAAGAAATGAAAAGAAAAGCAAAAAAAAAAAAAAAAAAAAAAAATAGATTACTAATTATAGTACGATCGCTTTTGCACGGCATTGGACAAGCGCGAGCGATTCGAATTATTCGATCGACGTAATCGATTATCATA